CCCCAAAACCCCAAAACCCCAAAACCCCAAAACCCCAAAACCCCAAAACCCCTTCCTTAAGTATCTATTGAATTAGTAGGAAAATATTACTTACATTAATTTTTTGACAACATGGCTTCTATTAACCACCACTCGCTTCTAAGCAGCGCTCTGAACAAAATAGCTAGAGTAACTTCCATAACCTAAACTTGTAGAGAGACCTGTCCAAGACAAGGCAGAAAGACCACATCATCGAAGAGACTCACAACATTTTCAACCGAAGAGGAGTCCGCAACGCATTAACCAGGAATACATCTATTAGCGTAGGCGAGAGGTTTCGTCTTTTTAAGTCATACGAAGATGCTATGAAGCATGACCGTAAAGCTCTGATAAAGCAGCAGGAGAAGATCTGCTCTAAGCTTAGCATTGCCAAGCCTCCTAAACCTCCATCGGGAATAACAACTCTTAACAAAAACCTCATGATTGTCAAGAAGAATAGTACCTTGTTAAAAAGGAAACAGGCCTTTATAGAGGAATCGACTCAATCTCAGAGCTTCCTCTTGAAACCAAAGATGGCTAACCTCTCTTCATCTTGAGGTAACTTTACTACCTTAAAGACCATGATCGATAAGGAGGACTACCAAAATGGTTGAGATAGCAGCAAAGGATCCGACAGAGGCAAGACGAATCTTAGTATCAGCAAGAGCTTCATTGAGTGCAAAAGTATATCCTCCATGAAGTCCTTCAATAGTTCAATAAAGCCCATTGAACCAAACTCCTCTCTTAAGAGAATGAACCTGAAGATTTTACCTGGCCTTGTCCAGAAGTTTAAGATGAAAAATAAATTATCAATTGCTGATGATAATACCTTAAATAACTATTCAAAAAAAAATTAGCCCAGACCCAGTTAAGATCAGTGTCACAGATTTTAATGACGAGAACAAATACTCCCCAAACGAAATGGTGAAGCCCATTATTAAACCATTTGGTAAGAAGATTGGAACTAAGAAGTTTAAAACTTCCTTGAAGAAACTAAAGATCAGAAGGACCACAGTTAAGCACAGCATTGATTTTCAGTTCTCACAGCTGTCCTAAACCCCATATACTTAACAAAACTGGCAAAATTTACTCCAGTACATTATAATTTTTATAAACGTCCTTTTCTAATTCAAATATTTCATAGAATAATGGGGTTTTGGGGTTTTGGGGTTTTGGGGTTTTGGGGTTTTGGGGTTTTGGGGTTTTGGGG